ATCACATTACATTTTATATCTTACTAAAAAATTTTTTTCTTCATAACTTTTTTAATTAAATCTTTTATACAATTAATATTAAGTGCAGACATTGAATAATACATTAATCATACTGTTAACTATAAAATATAAATCATTTGATGATGTAAGGTATTTTAATTTATTTAATTTATTAATGAAAATACCTTACAAACATACATTAATTTAAATGGAAAAATACTTTTCATAAATAAACTTTGTATTCATGAAAAAATTACATTTATTATAATTTAAGAATGAAAATACAGTCAAAATTTTAATTCAAAAATACAATTCTTATAATGCATACGTTTCAAATAATATATTTTACTGTAAGATAGGCACATGAATAATTAAAAGTAGAAAATCATATGATAGAGATAATTTTTTAGTCTTAATAGATACCAGTAAACTAGAGGTGTCATTATTTTAATATTATCAATGTTTGACAATCAATTAAAACATGCACATTAGACTTGACATAATGTGCTAGATATAAAGACATTTTTCCATGAACGTATTCTAACTTATTGATTACACATTAAAGCTACTTTAGAAGTTAGAAGGAGAAAAATGTATGCTACACTATTCATTAGTAATGAATAAAGACATCTTATAAATAGATTTAGAAAATATAATTAGTGCTTTCAGATGACTTAATTTAGTATGAAAATATAACTTATTTACTAGCTTACTTACTAGTGATATTGCAAACAAAGCTGCGAATATTTTCAGTATAATAAACAGTATAATTTAAATTATATTTAAATAATTAAATATTTCTAATGATGCATATTAGAAGCTTTAATTTTTGAACCAGTTGCCACCCTAAAATTTTTTGGTAGGTGGAACCCCTTTGCCTAAAATACTTACATCATAAAAAATTTACCATGTATAAAAATAAATTTTAAAATTATAGACCAGTAATTTTAGTTTTGGGTAGGAGATACATTTTTTTGTTCAAAATTAATCTCTATTTATTTTTTAGTATAAGCAACTAAATGTATTTACAAATAAATAAAAATTAGTCTGATAATAGAAATACTTTTATAATATATTAAATATATAAATCATATTTAAATAATCAATTTTTGATTTATTAAAATATTATTATATATTTTAAATCGTTTTTTCTTGCCCCTTGAAGTGTTTATAAGTTATATATGAAGTATTTAACTTGAAAAATGCATGTTAAATTAATTTTAATCTGTTTTGAGATTCAAATTATTGAGATTAATTTTAATATCATTATGCCGGGTAGCAAAAAATTGATTAATTTAATGGTTCAATAAAATTTAATGGACTAATCATAGGCCACTAAATCATGTTTAAGGGACGATTAGCTCGATATTAATTAATTTAATATTTAGTGATTGTTCATGCAAACTGACATTAGTATACTAAAGAATTATAAGCAATAATGTATCCAAGAAGAGAAGGGGGTTTAGATGTTTAATTGAACCATGTGTTATATTTCTTTGTAAAAAAATGTCTCCATTTTGATTACTAAAAGTTTTTTTTTTAAAACTGAACTATGTTGATCAATTTTAAGGTACTTTTGTTAAGTGTGATCTACTGGCTACATGACAGTAGAGTGATAGTTGATAAATTTTTCAAAAGAAATAGAACGGAAGGTCCTGAATCAATAGTGGAAATTATTTTTATTTGACTATGTACACGTTTGAAATGAAATAAAATTAATTTCATGTTTCCTAACAAATGATATTTTGTTATTAAATAAATATTCCCTACAATATAAACAATAACCGACAAGTAGATTAAACTTAATAATGCATATTAGTCGACAGATCATACATAATAATAAAAACGTGTCAGTAGATAATTATACTTACCAACAGATCAAATATATATTAACAAATATTAATAATAGTTTGGGTAAAACTGAGACTAAATCGGATATTGTTAATAAGTTCAATACTATATCAAAAGCTGAAATGCACACATTTAGTTACGTATAAATGTATTGTCAACATACTATTATCACTTAACTATTATAACAATAAATGTTATTTCATCAGAATGTATTTAATATAGTATACTAACAATGACTAACATCATAGTACACTATTTTAAAAGTTCATATTTACATAAGTTTTAATGTATAATATTATTATTATATATTAGATAAATAATAAATTTGATTAATTTAGTTTAAAATAATTCTTGATTTCCTTTAAAATATGTGAAAATACTTGTGATTATCATCATCAATATTAACATAAATTATGTATTAATATAACTGAATACATAATATATTAGAATAGATAAATTAAATAATAGATTTATTTTATTTATATACTATGACGGTTGATAAATGTGTAAACTTCTAAGTACTGATTATAATAACTTCTATTTATTTATACTTCAATTTTTTAACTATTGATGTTTTTAAACCAAAATATTTAAAAACTACAGAATTAATTAAAAAAATCTTATTATTAGTAAAATTTCATTCGGTTCTTAAAATGATAAAGACATCGCTGCATGTAAAATATTTAAAACAGACTAGAATTTAAATTTAAATTAAATTTATTAATTATTAGTTGACATAAATAATTATACCTATTTATATGTCATTAAAATAAAATAATTATCATATGATTACAAGTTAAAATATCAATAAAAACAATTATGAAGTAAAACAATGTTATTGTATAAAATAGTTTTATTCTAAAAAAATTTCATGCAATGAAATCTAAACTTAAGCACATATTATTGAATTATAAAGTTAAAGGTTTATTTAATTTATAAAAGTATCTATAGCAATCGGATATATAATATTCAGTCATATTGATAAAAATAATTTTAATATTATAATTACAATTTCAAGTGCATGCATTTAAGTTGTTAAAATTAAATAATTAATAGTGCATATTACAATATTATCTTTAAATTATATTAAATACACCAGAGCTTTATTTAAAATAAAACATAAATGTGTTATCATAACACATAATAACCCTTTCCTGTTTAAAATAATATAAAATATAATAATAAGGATATATATAATAGCAAAGTTTTGAAGCAAAAGATAAGTATTTTAAATTTTATCAATAAAAAATCAAATTATCTATTTTATATTTAGATTAGGTACCTACCCAGTCATTTAGTCATTAAAAAAAAAACTTTAAAATAACAAGTTGCTAAATAATATTTAATTAATTATAGTATGACATATAACACACCAAAACCTAGGTACTATAATAAGTATGATCGCAATGAGTAACATTAAGAATATGTTTTATCAATTATAATTAATATTTTATACATTAGATGATATTAATATAAAAAACTTGGTTATGCTGAATGAAATATTTTTGCGCAATATAAAATCAACAATGCTAAACACATTGAAGGCCTTATGTGATCATATATAATGTACATGTATATATATACATCTAGCCTATAAAGCACAATTCCAAAACTTACCTTTTATGTAGCAATGAAGGGTTTCCAACTATTAATCGAGAAACACTAAATTTTATAAAAATAAACGCGAAAAACATCAACCGGAAGTGAATAACAGATACCAAGTCCGTAGAATACAATTTAACAGGATTTTAAAAACACGCTCACAGAGAGAGAGAAAAATAACACTCATATAAAAAGCAGTGCCATGCCCTTAGAACGGATATATATGACCATTTGCCAATGAATGAAGTGAATAGATGAATGAAACGGAAACCCCCCGCCTGCCGACCCCACTCTCACTTCCGGTACATAACCCAAAATTACTATGGGCCACGAAAACATGAATGAACGCAATGCTACCAACTTAAATAAGACTCATTTTACAGAAATTGATTTCTATTTTTTTGCCAACATTACAATTTTTAATAAAAAAATAATTATATATTATTATTTATTATAATAATTATAACTAGGTATCTAAAAATTACATAAATAATAGATTTGATGACAACTATAAATATTTCATCAAATTTGTGTACTATGTAAATTAATAAATATACAGTAACACCTAATCATAAAGAAAATTAATAAAAAATTGTGACCAAGTAATTATTAATATTTATTATTTAAGTTATTCAATGTTATACTAATAAAATACTAGTTTATCATAAAAACTTATTATACGAACCTAATTTGAAACATCCAATCCAGTCTTTTGTTTGTCGATCATCTTTATCAATGTTCCATAATACCTTTATCGACAATCGTATACCATTTTCAGATATATGAACTTTATTAATAGATACTTTTAGATATGTATTGTCAACATCTGAATTAACATAGACGGGTTCGTTTTTGTTATTTTCGGGGATATTTTTAATAACCGATGTTGACAATTTTTCAGTCGAATCATCATTTGTATATGGATTAATCCTCACTTCTAATATATTCACGATAGATTCTTCTAAAGCGTTGTCTTCTTGCAAAATGTCATCTATACTTGGTAAGATTTCTGCAGCCAGGTTGAGATTTTAATAATAAAACAATACTTAATAATTACTTAATGAAGTATTTTTCAAGGTTTTTTTTTTTTAAATAAACGACAAGCTTATAAGTAAAAGTTTTTAAAACAACTCAGAAAATACTAAATAAAAACCGAATTACAAATTTTAACTAAACATTTAAGTATTTAAAGTTCTTTTGATACAAACTTGAAACTAAAAATTTTCCCAAATTTTAACATGATAATATCATTCATTGTTAAGGACCTTGAATACCGTGGTAACACTGGTAACGTCTGATCATATCTTATATTGTCCCTATAGTGGTAACCAAATATGACATCATAATTTGGATGATAAGAAAAATAATGTTATCAAATTACTGAAGTCTATGGAGTCGTATTGATAGATATCAGAATCTGATAATATTGATAATAAATACCAGTATTGAGTATACCACAAGACGTACTTTACTGTCATATCATATAGATTATAGACACTAAATTTTGTTATAATATTTAAAAAGAATTTATTTTCTTTAATTTTTCTTTATTAATTTTGAAGACTAACTATTATGAATGTATTAACTTAAAAGGTAAGTACTTTTCAAAATTGTAAACGTTTGTATTTTTTATAGGTATCTCTGATTTACTTTTTAAATGTTTTTCAGATTATAATGAATGATAATACAAGTTTTGACTATGATAATATAATTGATGAAATATTGATGACTGAAAAGCATACTGCCAAAAAATATTATATTGAAGGAATTGAGAAGTCTTCTGAAAATGCATACAACGATGGTTTTACAATAGGTTATCAAAAAGGTTATGATATTGGATTAGAAATTGGTTTTTATGCTGGGATTTTAGTTGGTATCAAAAAATTACATAAGTCAAAAATAATTATACTTACTGAAAAAGAACTTAATATTTTACAAAAACTTTCAAACTTTATAGAAATATTTCCTCAAATAAATGATAAAAATATCATTGATCAATATAATGAACTAAAAGGGTTATACAAAAAATTTTGTTTTAATTTAAAAATTAAAAATTTAGATAAAAGAATTCTCAATTTTTCAAAATGGAGCAATTAAGATCTAAATTAGAAGAAGTTATTATTTATTTAAAACCATATTTACCTATTGCTAATAGCCATGTAGTTAATTTTATTACTCATAACTTTTGGGAAACTATAATACCTAATGATATACGAGAAGAAATTGATTCCAAAGGTACAGAATTTGTGTTCGCAAATTTTTGGTCTGAAAATCAAATTCCTGATCCTCTTACACAATTTGTTTCTTCTTCAAAACTTAACGTCTTAAATTCGTATCCAAGTAGTTGTTATATGCAATTAGATGATGCATATAATTTACTACAGTCCTGGGGATATAAGCCTAATAATAAATCACTTAATTTAAAAGAGTTTATGGCTGCTAAAAAAATGCACGAAGTAGAAGTTATGGCCAAATTAGTGGCAAATTTTTCTACATATGCTGGTACAAATATTATAGTTGATATTGGTGGTGGCAAAGGATATTTAAGTTCTCTATTGGCTTTAGCTTACAATTTCAATGTTCTTGGCATTGATTCACAATCAATCAACTCTGAAGGTGCTAAAAATCGAACAATCAAATTTGAGGTTTTTACTTTACATGCATTGAGTTTTGATTATTTTATTAATATATATATTGTGCTTTTTTCAGAAATATTGGCAGTCCATAAAAAAAAAATCAAACAACTTTCCTAAAGAAAAAATAACTCTCCCAATAATAAAAGAAAAACTTAATACTTATGAAGAATATTATGAAAAATACAGCAGGAAATCGGCTGTGCTAGGAAATACCTACAAACAAGTTACAGAATATGTAACTGAAAATACTAATATTGCACAATTAGTACAAACTGAATTTAAAATAAATAATGAAGAAGAATTTTCTTTAATTGGATTACATACATGTGGTTCTTTAGCTACTACATGTTTAAAGTTATTTACTGAACCTAAAAATAATTTAAGACTATTGGTCAATGTTGGTTGTTGTTATCATTTAATTGAAGAAGAATTCACCAATGATCCATTTTGGGATGATATTGAAATTGCTTTAAATAAAAATGAATCTTATGGTTTTCCTGTAAGTAATTGTCTCAAAGATAAAAAATTTAAACTTGGACGTGATGCTAGAATGTGTGCTTCACAATCACCAGAAAAAATTTTTAATTCTAAAGATGTAAGTTTTATTTATAAATATGTTTAAAGCCTATATTTAACGTAAGATCTTCAATTTTTTTTTCACAATAAATGAAATTTATTTATTAATTTTAATAAAACGTTTGAATACTTAAAGCCTATCTATTTTTCTACGTAATAACCATTCACTTCAATGGACTTCCTCAATTGTACAACAAACTTTTATATCTCCTTCAAATCAGGATTCCATTACCTTACATAAAATGAGACAACTGCTTTATGAACCTCTTTGTCACTTGCAAAACGAGAAAGCCATCGTAGTGATTCTTATATGGAGGACAAGATAAAGTAATTTATAACAGAATTTGATTAGGATTTGAGGACCACCCTCCATATACTTCCAACATTGCCCCTTGTTATTTTCAAATGTTTCCTACCCTAAAAAAACATTTGCATGGAATGAAAAAAGACAACTGTTCTGGTTCAAGGAGTGTTACAGAAGTTTGTTGTACAAATGAAGAAAAACTATCAAAGTGAATAGCAATTACATATTAAAATGTATTAGGTTTCAAGTTTTCCAAAGATGTATCAAACTTTATAAATAAATGTCATTCACTGGGAAAAAAATGTGGAAACCTTACTTTAAGTACATATCTTGTACATTATAAACATAAACATCACTATAAAGATAATAAATCAATTTTCATAGATAATCAATCCAACAAAACCATTATTCTACAGAGCACTATTACAGGTTTATTTAACACAAGAACTTGGACATGAAAATATTAGTAGATGTCATGTTGGACGATTAGCACATAAATGTTTAACGTTTAATGAATATGTGCATAAAGCTGTGAAACGATTACAATTAAATATTGAGGTAAAATTAATTTGTATTTGTATATCTATTTGTAAAATATAAAAATTATTAAATTAAAAATGTTGTTTTTTTAGATTGATAATGAAAAAATTAATGCATTTTATGACAAATATCTGATTGAATATGAACGGTTAAAAGTATTTTTTATTTTAAAACAAGCATTAGCTCCAGTTATTGAAGGACTTATAATAATGGATAGATTACTCTACCTCCATGAACAGGTAAAATATATTATTATTTATATTTTCCATTTATTTATCAAAACAATGTTTTTTGGGTCTTACCAATTGAATACTAAGGTATCATTACTGTTAATTTATCTTTTATAGACATTTTTTTTATTGAATTTTAGTTCTATACATTAATTAATTTATATGAATCTATAATTATTTAAAACTACGATAAAAAAAAAATATAGTTAATGTTGTATAATTTAAAATAAATAACTTGTTCTGCAAATTTGAAATTAATACCAACATATCAAAATTTTGTTAATAGATATTTAAAGACTACTTGTATAGTTGTATATGTAATTAATCATTAAAGTGTATATTGTTTGTGTATTTGTGTATTTGTACTACCATAAAATAAAATTTTTAAACTTAATACAACTTTATTCGAATATTTGAGGTTGAAAAAAATATAAATTCAAACAATAATTCCATTAATCAAGCTTTGTACCTACTAAGTTATAACTAAGTTTGTTTAAAGACAACATTTTCACCAAATATATACATTTTAATTTGTATTTTCTAATAATAATAAAATTAGTAACAAAAAATTTTTGTTTCAGGGAATTAATGAAGCTTTTGTTGCCAAACTTTTTGATCCACTATTGTCACCTAGAAATCATGCAATTATTGCATTAAAGAAAAATTAAACTTAATTAAAAAATAGCTTTATGTTTTACATCTATTTTTATTCTTTAAAATACTTAATAAAGCTATTGGTTGGTTGATATTAACCAAGACCTGTTCATTATTTTTTGTCAGTGTCTGGTCAAAATTGGTATCATGTGAGTGATGAATTACTCTTTGTCACCCTTAATGTTTGGTGGTTGTTATCATGGACCTGGTTATCCATGAAATGTTAGCTAGGAAAATTGTAGCCTTCGTTGCAGGTCTATAAGTATTGATATAGCTAACTCGGTCAATATTTTTAATGATTTCTTTTTATTATTATTATTAAAACAACTCAATAATTAATTTGTAAAAATTAAAAATAAATTTTTGAAAACATAAATTTATCCTTTATTATTGGAATATTTATGTTTAAAATAGCTTCTTTAAACTGATGAGGAACCTTGTGTTAAACTTTCAAGTTTTTTGGTTAAGCAAAAAATTTCATATCTAGTTATCTATCTTTATGAAAAAAATATCTAATGTCTAAACATAGCTCAAAAAGTGTCAAAATTAAAAATTTTAACATATGACTATACAGAAAATACTATATAACAGGGTTGGCTAGAAAGAAAATATTTCGAGCCACCCAATATATTAATAAATATTGAAGATCCAAAATGAAAAAAAGTTCATATTAATATATACTTAAGATTATCATAAAAAAGATAATTGTGTCCCAAGTATTTTTGGACTTTTGGTCATATGTAAGTTGCGTCCCGGTTATTTTTATATTAACAAGTTGACTAGTATGATCATTATATTTAACTCTCACTAGTCAAACAAGATAACTTCAATAATTTTATATAATTATTACCGTTTTTGCTTTGAGAACTAAACTACATTTAGTGACAAAACACCATTTTGATACCTTTATTATTTAATGAATTACAGTAACATTAAATTAATATTTAGTATTTTACTACTATAAAACAAACATATCACAAATCAGTTAATGTGGTTATTCAATAAGAATAATAATATGAAAAAAATCCATTGAAAAATATCTAAAAGTGTTACAATAGGATATGAGAGGTTAATTTAACTCTCTCTCCTTTTTTTTCTTAAACCTAATTAATTTGACTCATATTGTTGTGAAAACTGAAATAGATTTTCATAATAAAATATCTAATGGTAAACTATAATATTTCAGATACCTAGTACAAACGGAAAAATATAAGAATATTAAATTTAATTCTCAAAGCTTCTGGAAAAATTTTACTTCAAATAGCTTACCAGTCGATTTGTCAAAAGTTAAAATGTACTTATGTTACAAATTTTCAACCAATATTTTCTTTCTAATTTTAAAAGTTTTAGGGCTGTTAACATTACCCCTATAATATTGATATAGTTAAAAATGTTGGTTTTTAAATTTTTTATACATTTTATATTAATTGTTATTATTTACATTTTAAATTATTAATTTTAGTATATTTATTTATTATAACTGATAACTTATAAGACTTAATTGAATAAGGTAAAAATTTGAATGATAATATATAATATGATGATACATGACAGAAACTCAGGGCGCAACTTACGTATTACGCATGTACCTGAGAAATACGGGCTGCAACTTATGCATGTTATGATCGAGACGCATCACGCATTCACGCAACTAACATTTACCGAATACTATATTACTAATATGTTAAGTTAGAATTGTTAGAAATGTGCAAAAAAAGGTAAATTAACGAATTTCTCTCCCCTATTCTTATGTTATCTCTTATAAACATACATAGTAGAGGGGATAAGGCTACTAAAAATAATTTTTGGCACCGGATACTAATAATGCTAGGCATAGCACTGTCTATAGTTATTTGTTTTAGAGTTACACCAAAAAACAAAATCGATTTTGTAGAAAATTGGATTTGTGTGAAAATTCCCACTTTAACTTTTGACCTCGTTAAATTACAAACTAGGTCCAACTTTTGATCAAAATTCAAAAATCAACCTCAAAGTTGACACATCAATTCATTTAGTTGATCTGTTCAAAATCTAAAATTATTTAATATATATAATTATTATATTCAACAAATATATTACAAAAAACTAAAAAGTAAAAAATATCCTTGCCGACCTCGCCCTTACGACATTTTGAAAATTCGGCACTCCTGAGTATGATGTTATTAATTTGTGTACCTATACAGCCATACGGAAGTGAGAAGATAGGTACGTAATAATAACCAATAACTATACCAATTACCATCTTAATTATATTCGTCTTTCAGTTTTAGAAAATTCGTTTAATATTCGAAGCCGTACGATGTAGGTACCTACTATAAATACATTTTTAATTAAAATAACATGATAATGAATTGTTTTTATGTTACCATTATTGACGTTATTCTTATATGTAACAGGCGTTTTATATACCTATACCTACAGTAATATAAAAATATAATCATTCTTATTTTTAAAATTTTTATTTAGACTTAATTAATAGATAGGTACAGATGATACAGTAAGTATTGTTTTTACATGCACTGGTTCAGTGGTTTCCCATTACCTATATTAGAAAATGTGATAAATATCTGGTTTTCATATTTTCAATATTAAAAATTAATTATTTGACCTCCAATTTTAATATAGTGATATAAAATATTTAAAAATATTAATATATATATATATATATTTAAAATATTTAAAATATTTTCATAATATATCTAATATGATGTAAAGTTTTCAAATTTTATTTTGGATGGTGGCTATACAGTAGCGGGGGGGGGGGGGGGGTAACATCCTAGCAACTGATTAATTGCATATTTAAAGTAGATCTAGTTAGTAACTTTGCAGGGGTTTAAAAGTAAAAATTCTTGGTATTTTAAAATTAATTGGAAAAAAACAAACAAAAAAATTAGGGGAATTTTTACTCAAAATCAAATTAAAATTAATATTATGTTGTGTAAATAATATTTCACTCATTATAACTGCGATATACTTTCCCCTTACCTAATCTAACACTGAATTCACGGAATATTTTAACATAACTAAAAATAAGTTTATTGTAGGTAGTGATTATAATACCAAACATCAGCTAAAGAGTTTCCGCGTAAATAATTCATGTTATCTTACCTTTCACAATTTTATAAATACAAAAAGATTGAAAGAATTGACTCTTCCAGGATCAACTTATTGACTATCCTCCTCCACAAAAATTGCAAGTACCTTAGGGCTTAGATATCTTGATGACTAAAATCTCAATTAATTTATTTTACACCACTAAAAGTATTCTTTATTTGAATTCAGATATCTCCTCTGTGGCTCTGTACTTCTAACTTTTAATTTTACTCCCAGCTAAAAAAGAAACATCCCTATAATATTTAATAAATTTAAAAATTATTATAAATTTCACGATCTTCTAAATTAAATGAAATATTACATTAAAAGCACCCCATGACATAGATTTAGCTATAAATAACCTAGCTAATCTCATTTAAATAGCCTGGTCAACTTCAACTAATAACCAAGCTTCTCCCATCCTTGATTCGTTGATTCGCTATTTGTGTAGATACATTCCTACTAAAATTACCAAAAAGCTGAGAGATAAAGCTAACCTGTCATGAAAACAAACCACCTGTTTATTATTTTTAGCCTTTATTCTTATTATATCAAATGATAAAATTTGTTTATTGCTTATAAAAATAAAGTATTATGTTGTAATTCAAATAAGTAATAACAATATATACTTAATTAAATTACTTTTCACTAAATATTCAACTTTTTATTAATGATTTAATTTTTAAATATTTTTATAATTTTGAACTATTTATATACATATACAATTTTTTTCTAAAAATGTACTCAATCAAAAGGTTTAAAAATTTAATAAAAAGTGTCTTATAGATAGTTCATACTGGAACTAAGAATTTTAAAATATATAAATACATTTTTTAAAATTATTACGTGATTAGATATTTAATTAAAAATGAAAATTTTAGTTATTTAGTTATAATAAAAAAATATTTATTGGGGGAATTTGAATTGTTGACATATAATATAGGTATATATTTTTTCGTGTATAATATTACCTATTATATTTTATATTTTAAAATTCAAAATAACAATTTCAAAAATTAATTCAAGCTAGGTATTTGTGATATCACTAATACTATATAATAAATTTAATTACTATAATAGCAATATAAATATTAAATATACTCACTTAAAACTTAATAATATTCATAGAGTGGTAGATCGTCTATTCTCAAAATTATATTTTGTAGGTATGCAATAATTTATTATTGAATTCAAATTTAACATATATATTACATAAATTAATATAACTCAAATACTCAATAAATGATAATAGGTTCACTTGAAACCTACTTATATAACAAAGAGGTTACCTAATATTTTGATTGTTAAGTTATATGCTTTTACATTTAATTAAAAATACAATTACTTTTTCATATCAACCTACTATTTAAATTGAAAAATTTATAAAATTCAATTATCAATAATTAACTTTCAGATTTTTTTTTTGATTGAATAAATTTGCAGCTAAAAATGAAATTAAAGAATTTTGTTGTATTTATCTATACTTATTTAATTGTAAAAATGTATTTTCTATAAAGTTAATATAATTTTTTTGTAGGTGGGCGGATAAAAAAATTGTGTAGCACTGCAGTAGGCTCATTGTTATAAAATTATTTGCTGCTTATGGCTATATTAGTGTTACTATACAGTTTGTAGTTGCAATGATGATTAGTCTAGTACCTACCTACTTTGGTGTAACAATTTTATGCTTCTACATTTCCATATTAATTCCTATTTCCTACATAATTATTGAATCTTATTAACATAATCTATAGGCAATTATTATTTAACTATTGTTTCTAATTTCATAGAATATATAAATCAAATTATTTTTATTTTTATACATTCAATAAATTATTTCAGATTATAGGCATTTTAAAATATATATATATAAAAAAAAACATGGAATCTCAACAAAATACATTAGATAATGTCATCAAGAATAGAAAGCGACCTGTTAATGAACATGGCTTTTGTAATAAAGAATTGGCAAATAATATTATTGGAATTAACAAACTTAGTAGACAATTATCGTTTGATGGCACTGAACTACAAAGCATTAAAAAGAAAAAGGTTAGTTGAAAATAATATTTAAGGATTAGCAAATATCATTTTTTTTTTTTTTTTTTATTATTATTAAGTTTATACAAGTTAATGTTTTTTATCATGTACCAACTAAAAATAATCATTTATGCACACTAAAATATCTAGGTATAAAAATATTTTCTCAATATTTTGCATTTACTTGTTTACTTTTTCATGAAAATTAATTTTTTAATAATAAACCAATTTAAATATGTATATCATTTATTTTTATAGAAATTTAAATTATCATGTTTTAAATAATTATAACACATGGAAAACATTGAAATGTGTTAATTACAAATTAGAACATTTTATAACAAGTAATCTTCATAGTTAGATTTCTAGGTTTTTTAAATGTCTTTTTTTTTAGATTTTATTCTTACAAAATTAAAAATGATTTACATAATTCTTTGTGATCTGTAATGATGACAACATGACGTTAACAAAGATGTATTTTAGTTAAACCATATTTTATTAAAGTTATTACAATTTAAATTTTTATGATTGTTTTGAGTTAAAGTAACTCAAAATATAATAGAAATTTAAACATATAAATAAAATTAATATTAAGAATAAAAAATAATAAATTTAAGTACTTAAAAACTGTTAATAATACATTTAAAAATTTAGTATTTAAGTATAATTTTAAATATTTTTTCAATGATATTTTAATTACTTATCCATAATTAAATCAAATGGATAATTTACAAAATATTTCATATACTTTTTGACTATTTATACATTATTACAATAACGATAAATCAAACTTTACATATTGTATATGAATGAAGTGTATTATAAATTAATCACATATATTCCAATATTCATGTAATATTTAAGTTTTAAGTAAAAAAAAAAAAAAATAAAAAAAAATACCTAATAGTATGAAATTATAAAATTAAATTAAAAACTTTTTTTATTGTAATAATAATAAGAAGAAAAAGCATTGCATAATATGTCTCTATATTTAAAAACTAGTATGATAAAAATATTTGAGTTGATTAATTTATAATCATTTAAGGCATTCGTTTAGCAGGTGATCTACTACCTCTTTTTAGGCATATAAGGTGATCTATTGTATTATACTAGGTATAGTTAGTAATTTACAATTATTTACTTGACTATTTTTTTAAAATTTTTAGTTAATACTAAAAATGTTTACTGTACTTGAAATTTTTATTTTTTTATATTAGACGAATATTTGTATGATGTGACGTGATAAAAAATATAATGTGTTTTTATACTATTAAAGAAATATATATTTTTAGTTTGTACATAGATCACTCATTCTGAATTAGTACATAACTGTACGTCTGTACCAAAGTAGATTATCTGCTACATAAATATCTCAATTAATACTAAGTATAAGCCTCAATGTCTCATCAAGACATATATATGACAAATACCAAGTTTTATTATTTTGTGAATTATAAAATAATGTTTGTAATATTAGTATCATTTGTAAGTTGTAACATGCATGAGTAAAAAATAAAATATATTAAATTAGCACATAATATTTGATAAATATTTTGTTTTTTTTATTTTTATTTTTAGGTTGAAAATGGTACAAAACATAAACACACAGTGCATGTTTCTAATGTAGTAACTACTAATAATATTTTAGGCGAAAAAGAAAAAATATATGATGTTAACTCAGATAGAGCTAAAACTCCTGAACAATCACCATCTACCAAGGCCCAATTACGACAAGTATGTACCTAAATCTATAAACATTTGTTTTATATACCTATATTTATTTATTTATTATAAATTAAAATTATCAATAAAAAATAATATTAATATTATTAATATAATATTAATATTATTTTTTTATTATTACTTAATTTATTAATTACTTCTAAAATAATAATGTTTGATTCAGTTATATATAAGTTAGGCATCTCAATAAATGTGCACTTTATAATATAGGTAATAATTGCAATTTTTATGAAACATAACTAAGTAAATAGTAAATATCTACTAAATCTTTAGCAACAAAAAATGCTAACAGTACATTTATTATAGAATTAAGTATAATAGTAGAGAGGAACACAAAATTATTATTGTTTACAAAAGTGTATGGCGGAAAAGAAATTGTATACATGAATAAGTGTCAAAACAATAATCCCTGCTAAATATTATTATATTTTTTGTTTGTTATCATATTATTATTTAACATTTCTTAAACTGTTCTTAGTTACTGTATACAATGTTTAGACATTACTTATGTTACATTTTCTAATTTTCTAATAAACATTTTGCTATGTTAATTAGACTAGACAAGTTAAAATCCTCAAAAATCACAGGTACCTCTCAACTTAAATTTATTGTTATCTTATGTCTATTACAAGCTTATTTTCTGAATGGTAAAAGTTCTGAGTATTTCAATTCTGGTAGAACCAATGTATTTATTTCTTTTTAATTTTTAAGATTTGTTATAAACAAGTAATATGTCATATAATTTTAGAAATGTTCTAGGTTAAGCTGGCAGGTTTTCAGTATTATTTTCACATTTTAAATTACCTACTTAATATAATTAGTATTAAGTACTAAGTTATTTAAAAATGTTTGTAAAAATTATATAATCTTGATTATTCTTTTAATTGGTATATCAATTAAAGTACATATTATTTAACTTTTTTTTATAGATTTTGGATTTGGGTGAATTTCATAAAATTGTTTGTTCTAAACAGAACATTAAAAAACTTCAAGAAAAGCTGAACTTGATAGAAGAATGTCAAACGGATCTTAATTCTATAGAACATAAAGCTGAAACTATTAAATATAATTTTTTGCCTATGTTTAAATCAGATGATTTCAAGATAAGCACTAGTTCAGTAAAATATTCTCAACTAAAACTGGCAACATTATTTCCTAGTCCTTTAAGAGTAATGATGGATATTCAACCAAAATTGACTAAAATATTTAATAATAAAATTGAGAGTGTTATGACTATTTCGCCTAGTAAACATTATTCTGCATTAGCAGATTCGAAAGCATTACCTTTGCCATTGAAATATCGAATTTTGAATGAATTTTTCAAAGTTATGGAAACAGTATTATCTATGAAATTTCTTAGAAAAGAAAAAATAACATTTTATAATCTCAAACAAAATATTCAGCAAATAACTAGAAAGTAATGGGCATTGTAAAAATATATTCTTGTTTTAAACTGGACTGATATCCTATATTCTAATATCTAATAAATCAATATATAAATAAAAATCTGTATTTTTTCTATTTTTAATATTTTTATTTAAATATTTAAATGATATATTTTAAATTTACTTAAAAATGTTAACTATAATTTATATATATATCTACACACTTAAGAAAAATTTAAATAATCATAAAATATAATACAACTTATACAACAAATATTATTATCAAAATAAATTATGAAACCTGTAAACATTTTTACAAAAACTTGTTATTCATAAACCCCTTAAATAAAAAAAAAAGACTCAAATTTATTATGTTATTATTATTTTAAATTTCATAACTAGTTTTAGTACCTACTTATATAATAGAAAATTATATATTTTATAAATAGATCAATAATTAATATGATATATTTAATATTATTTCAATTATATTAGTTCATGGAGTCGGTCCAGTTCTATTAGATGACTTAAATTATTGTTAATAAGAACTAAGTTTATTAATAAATAATAATTATTCAATATTATTTTCCAGGAATTTTACTGAATTACATTTGGCTCAAATTAAAACCATAGTTCCTAACTTTTTCAAGTTTTACTTAGTAAAATCACTAAAACATAATTTTAGTATTGATTTAGTAATAGTTCCAGTTTATGGTAGTTGCATATTTATGATTTTATATATTATGAATATATAATAAATTTTATATTAATTAGGTTTGGAAAACAAAGATAAAATTGACTTAATAAAATTAACAACTCAGAGAAAAAATACATTTTTTAATGGATTAATAGACATTATGAAAAAACATCATGCAGTAAGTTAAATATGAATTTAATAAAGAAATAGTTTGCTTAATTTAAAGGAACCATTTAAATTTTTACCAAGGAGTATTTGAATAATTTAATCCCTCCTATCATAATTGATAAAGATAAAGTTACCAGATGGCATCCAGAGTTTGATGTCGAATCTGTGCCAAATATCAATCTATCACCATTGCCTAAGATTGAAATTGGCAAATCAAAAATATCAACTGCTAAAGATATTTTGGGTACAAATATCAAAATAAAATGTTATATACCTTTTTTTTTACTAATTATTTTTTCTATTTTTAGATCAAGTACATGCATTGTTTATTTACAACAATCATTTAAATCAGTCCCCTACTATAATGAATAAAAACAACAAAAATTTAACTAATATAGTCTTACCTACAAATGATGCCAAAAACACGTTAAAAGATGCACTTAAAGGCGTTCCAAAACCATTTTTAATTAAGGTAAAAGTATTAAGTTATTTTAAATTTCTATTTAATATATTAAAGTATTTTTGTTTAGATCCAATCTAAGCAAACTGAAAAAGCTAATAGAATAATTAGGTCAGTAAGTCAATTAAATAAAGATAAAATGATGATTAGATTACCAGATATTGCTCGTAGAGTACGTACTTATTTTGTACAACTTCAAAGAAATATCATGCCACTAAAAAAAGTTATTGACCAACTAAAACAATGTTATCCAGAGATTTTGACGGACCGTAATAAAATTGTTTTAATTATTTAATATTTTATAATAATAGCTATTATTTTTATTTCAGATGATTGGAAAACTCACTTAAATCTTCTTCAAGAAAAAGTACCTCACTGGGCTGTATCAAAAATATTGGATGGAAATGAATACATTCGAATTGATAAAAAAATTAATTTTGAAGAATGTGTAATTAAAAAATTAAAAAAAATAATTTTAAATTAAGAGTAATACCTTAAATTAAAATAATTAGTATTTGTCAATAAATTACCTTAGTTTTAATTTTAATTTATTTTATTTTATTCTATGTTAAAAAATTCATTGTTATTTAATAACATGTCTTAAATTTTTATAAAATTTTAAAGAAATGTATACAATTAATTATTTTAATATGTATGACTACAATAACATATTATAGTTATACATAATTTTAAGTTTCCAAACAAATTTGTTTTTTATTTGTTTTTATAAATAGTATTTTATAATACATATTTTTTTTAATTTAAAATTTTTCATTCTCTGGATATTTTTTATCTATTAGATATTTCTGTAAAAAGAATGTAATGCTCTTAAAAGTTTTTATTAATTTGAGAAATTTCTAAAATTCAGTAAATTAATGGATTTCTTGTCTGTTACTATGAGTCATGAGACAATAACTTTTATTAATAATGATTAAAGTTGATATATTTTTTAATAAGATCGTACCTATGTTATGAATCTTTTGAGTTTTGATAAAAATTCTAAGTTTTTTATTTTTAATAATTAAACATTAAAATACAGTACTATGTTTATTGTTTAACATTATAGGTATGCCTATAATAAACAGTATACTATCTAAGAAACTTGAAGAACAGTACAAATGTTTTATTTATAAAAGCACATGAATACATAATACATGATATATATATATATCTATTTATTTTTAATAAATGTCTAGTTCCTAATAGGTACCTGTATTTATTTTTCAATTAGTAATTTATTATTTATTAGTAATATGATAGATTGAAATAATTTTAAATGTACCAATTGATTTTACAATGTGTCATATGTGTGTGTATGTGCATGTTTTTTTTCACTTGCAATCATCTTTAGTCCAGCAAAAATATTTTAATTTTCAAAAAAAAGGGAAGTTTCCGGTTAAAAAATTGATCTAGTTAGTACTTTAGGGAGTCAAAAGTAAAAAATTCTCAGTACTTTTTTTTATAAACGTCAACAATAAATCAAAATGTCGAGAAAATTAATTTTTTTTTGGCGTAACTCTAAAACAGATAACCGTATATACTTGACATTTTCATCAAATGTTTTTATTATCATTTTTTATGTATGATTAATGTTCAAATAATTCGACTTTTTTAAGCTATTTATAGGCATAAGAAAATTTCAATTTTTTTTTAGTATTAATACTAAATTTCGATTATAAATTATTCATGTGTAGAAATGTTTGAAAATTTAGTACAAGGCTTCTCATAAATTGTTGATTTCTTTATTAAAAGATACCGAAAATTTAATTACAATATATTTTTTTATAAACGCTTTAAGTTATAATTTTGATAACATTTATAAAAATCGAGAAAATTAACAAATTATTTTGTAATTAGAAATTCCTTTTTTATACTTAAGTTTTGAAAATTTAGTAGAATATTCCTCGTATCTCATAAGTAGCTTACTAAAACCATAAAATCTATTAAATACCTATAATATACATCCAATTATTTTGTAAAGACATTTTAAGATGAAATTTGGCCGAAGTTACTTATCAATAAAGCATTAGTTGACAATCTCATTAATAACCACCCGATAATTACAATTAATGAACAATAAGTATGCATATGAATATACATCACTAATTTTTAAATATTAATAAATGTCAATTTAAAAAAAATTACCTAGTTAAAAATTCTATTAACTTTCAATACTTTATTTCTGACTCTAATATCAAGCTTGTTGCACAATTTTAAAATCTAGGTACCTATTCTTTTTGATCTCGAATTGAATTTTTTTCGTATCAAAATTATTAAGAATAAAGCCTTTTATAATTTAGGATTTATTAAACGCATTTGTGATACATGCTTAGACGTTAGACCCTTTCCTTTAAAAATCCTCTATTGCTTTTTGATTCGATTCAGTCTAAAGTAGTAGAGTACTGTCCTTTATCTAAATACTACATCAAAACAAAATCTTATGTTAGAATCGATTCAAAATTGTTTCTTATCTCTTTTAAATTCAATATATACAGATTCCTTCAGAACTCGTATAATAATGTTTTAAATATTCTAAATATTTCTCTACTCGACCGTCATATAATTTTATCCGCTAAATTTCTTCAAAATGTATTATTAGATTCAATCGATTGTCATGAAATACTATTTTTAATCCACTTTAAAATTAAAATAGCCCAAAAATTAACTAAAGATTCTAAAAATTTTTATTCATTATTTTCAAATAATGAACTATATTTTAAACTCCTCTGTTAACTTTTTAATGGTTGCAAGTTATATGTCTTTGACTATATTAAACAATTTCTTATTTTCTTAGTTCGTATTCTATATATTTGCTTCTAAGTCATAGTCTTCGTCGACTTTTCTTTTTCAAAATGAATTAATCTGTTTTTCATGCTACTGTTTTGAAGTGCAAGTTTTATTTTTAATAGAATATCAAGTAACTCTTTTTTTGTAATATTCTATTCTGTAAATAGACGTCTTGTGGGTTAAAACCACCTTGGTGATTTTCGAAGAAATATTCAAATGTTAAGTAATCAATTTTGTAGGCATCGTTATCATTGAAAATTTCTTCCGCAAGACTTAAATAGGTAAGTATCAATGTATGTAAAGAATTTTTTTAGAGAGCTAGACATTTTAGGTTCTTTTTATATCCAAATGTCTTATTTTTGTTTGGTTTTCAAGAGTGTTATCTTGAGAAGGATTGTCAGTGACTGTATAAGACATAGGTATTGATGGAGACGGGAAAATGAAAGATTTAGGAACTTTTAGTGCAAATTTGGTTCTAGTATATCAGACGTTAGGTCTACTTCATTTGAGCCTTAGCCCTTGAAATGATAGTTAAATTTAGTAGGTATATTTGATTTGGATTTTTAAATGTTTTTGTTTCATAGGATAGTATCTTCTGTTACAGTTAGTGTTTCAATTTTGTTTTCTTCAAACTTATGTGGGCATTTAAGAAGCGATGTGGTTTTAAACTTTACATGAGAAACATGTCAAAGAGTCGTCCATTTATAAGCGTGCGCACGGGGCGACTGGAATCTTTTTAGGGGCATAATAAAATTTTAACCTGATACTAATATTAATAATTAATCAATACATTCATGGCTAAATTATATGAAAGCCAATAATTACATGAAATCATTTAATGGATTTGTCATTGTACCTATTGAAATTATTCAATGTAATACGCTTATACCTACACCTGTTATAAGTTGTTCCTGCGAACGGGTATTTTATAAATTAACAATAGTAAAGTATAAATTAAGGAGTACTATACGTCAAAACTGACTTATAGTTTATTGTTTACTGAACCAGAACTAACATCTAGTATTAACTATTATTATTGACATGGTCATTGACGAATTAAAAAATATGGGAAATAAGAGAATTCATTTATAATTTTTTAATTAATATTATTACATAATTAAGTTTATATAATATCATATTATGCATATACAATTTTTTTGTTCATCAAGCTAAGTTATTTTTAAATGTTGGGTATTGTGTTTTTATCTTTTGATGTATAATTTTATTTATATCGTTTTATTTTTAACTTCAAAAATATGTCTAGAAATTAGCACATTAATGTTGTGTATACATACAAATATACAACTTGATTCTATTTACACAGTTTTTAATTTACAATTGGAATCTACATCAATGTATTAAAATATATATATGTATAACTAGGGAGTTTTTATTTATGTCATCGTGGTTGATGAAAGTTTGGCGATGAAAATTTAAACTGTGGGAGAAATTGGTATCTTGTAGCCTGTAGGTATACCTGCTCTTAAGAATGAGATGTTGCTACGAAAGACTATACTAAGTTTTGTTGAATTAATTTTCTATGGTTTCGTGAGGTATGTTGAGACAGACTTTAGATACAATTTTTCTCTTATTAGAATTTTACAGTTTACGGATTTTATAGTGTTATAGTGTTATTGACACGCATCTTGTTCAGGCTTTATAGTTTTTACTAGTTTGGATTCGTCAGCAAAGAGAAGGGTATAAGAATTAGTGATAACATTTGGAAGATCATTTATAAATATATAGGCATCTTAACTCTAGTACCTATTAAAAAGTACAGTTAACAGGTGGTCTACTTCAGGGACATCTGATGAAACTTAAGAGCTAAGCTTAAGGCTTAAGAATGCTTAAGATATTTAATAATTTGAAAACGTCTAAATAGAAATAATTGAAACTAATTTCGTAGAAAATCGAGAAACCCTAATAACTATAATTTTTTTAATATGAATTAGCTAGGGTGTATTATTACTTTTTAAAATGTATTTTACAAGTATACCTAAATACTATAAATGTTTCTAATTTTAGAAGTTATTATTATTCTATTATTATAATTTATAGTATTATTTTTACCATGGGTTAAAACTTCTATAAATAATATTTATAAATTACATAACTTTTATTACATAATGATTTGTTATATTAATAATTAATAATAACAGATGTCAGATTTATACATGATATTATGCTTATAAAATAGTTACAATTTTATTAGAAATGTATTTGAAATACCTATTTATTTTATACTATTCTATACTATTTACAAATTATTGGATAGAATGTTTTAATGACAATGCAATTTAAGTAGGTACTTCGTACCTATGTAATACAATATGTACCTATAATATCAAATAATTATTTGATATACTTAATATAATATAACTAATGAATAAAAGAAAACAATGCATAGTTAAATAATTTTATGTAATAATAATAGAAAAAAGAGATTATTATGAGTTAGTAATTATAGTTATTAATTATTATTAATTGGTTTTAAATTTTTATTATTTTGTAATGAAAAGCAAAAATTTTTTAATTTTAACTAATATTATCATTTTGCTAACGAGTTTATTATTTGTAAAATCTCTTTGGTGTCGTGTAATCATAATCCTTATCAAAGCTCCACCCCACGACTCTTGTACCATTTTTGTCTTTCAGCGTTCAGCTTTTTAGTTTTAACTAAATATTTTAATAAGATTATTTTTTCATACTTATTACTTACCTATATAATATAATAAGTATTAACTTAAATACTTAAAAAGCAATGTAAGTAAGAATATTCAATTGTTTACGCGTATTCAGTTATAGTATTTGTAAGTTTTATTTTTCATTAGTACACATGTTAAATGATTTTGAGCAGTTTTATTTAAAAATTATATAGATACATAATAAAAAAAAACTCAATGGTTTTTAAGTAAAATTGTGTATTTCTCCCAGTAGTCAAATGCTAACTTCAGATGGATACAAATATTGGGGTCCTCGAGAATGCTGTCATACAGGTGGTGGTCGAGAGTGTTACACCAGATATGATTGTAGTGTCATACACTGCCATAAATGGGTCTGTTTACCAAGGCATACTGTTAAACAATGTCAAAAGGTAAGATTTATATTTTAAAAATTAGAATTATAAATTCATTTGTGTGAATTTTTAGACGTTTTCCATGTGGAAGTGTTCCTATCACAAAGCCTCCACTATCGCCCAGAAATTTAAAGACTGAATCTGATAATGACATTTTATATTCTGTAAGTCAACGCTTTACTTATTTTCAAAACACCCCAAACACATTAAAAAAAATTCCCAATAAAACCAAAAAAGTGAGAAAACCCATGACTGTTCGTCTAAGACCTCGTCAAGTTCTATGTTCAAAATGTAAATCGATTTGTACTGAAAATTCAGAAAATGCTAAAACTTCTAAGAATCTTGTTAAAAATGAAAATAATACAATTCCTGAAAATAATGGAGAAAGAAGATTATTAAGAAGTCATGGACCTGTTCCAGATTTTTCTATAAAACCATCAGATTCTGTATCGACTGTATCTAAAGTTAAATCAATATGCCGTACCCTGATACCTAAACTTGTAAAAATTAAATCAAGAGAAATAACAGAAGCACTTAATAACTATTCAACATTCACTGAAATAGATGAATGGGTAGGTAACAAAAAAGACTGTGAAGATGACTGTGATATTGAAGACAAAATGGTGTTAAGAAAAAAACCTAGCATTGGATCAATGGAAGATCTTTGGGATGAAACTGCATTTGAAGAAACTAAAAAAACACCAATCATAAAAATAACATTTGGATCTCAAGGTGAAGGTACAGTTATGGAAATACCATCTCGTCAAGCTAGTGGAGATAGTGAACCAGATAAACTCTTACGTAAAAGAGCAAAACGTAGAAGACAGGATGGGGAAAAAAGAAAAAAACATAAGAAAAGACATAAAGAGCAAGTGGATAATTTAGAAATTAATAATTTCTCGATAAATTTAAATAATTTTAATTCTAAAGAAGAATATTGTACAAGAAAAGTGACTAATAGTTCAGAATCAATTAATAATGTAAATGGTGAACTTTCTGATGATATTGAATCAAATAGTTCCCCTGAACTTGTAATTCCTCAGACAGAAACATCAGATTCTAATCCTTTTTTTGTATTGAAATCTGGTAAAATTCTTCATGAAGGTGATGTTGTTTGGGGAAAAGTAAAAGGATTTCCTTGGTGGCCAGCAAAGGTATGTATATCAATAAAATTATCATTTTAAAAGTAAATTAGTGTATAACTGTTATATTTTAAATAACAATTATTAATATTAACTATTAAGGTATCAAATTTTACTACAAGTAATGGTGAAGAAAATGGGTCATTTGTAAATGTCACTTGGTTTGGTTCTTCTACTACATCTTTTCTTAAATGCGATCAGATAAATCCATTTTTAGATTTTTACAAGGTATGTAAAAAATAATAAAAATAATATGTAGGTATTTAAAAAAGAAGTTAGTGGACAAATGGTTAATGTTAAAATGTTCAAATAATGTATTAGTTAAATAGAGGTAAACTGATAAAATTAATTAACGATTGTTGGTTCAAATTTTAATTCACTGTGGATTTTATTTTGTAATAATTTATGTAACTATTCAATTCTAGTCGACATTTTTCAAAATTAGTAACTACCTAATAAAATGATTGGTGTATTTATAAATTTCTTTTAAAGGGTATGACTAACAAAAAAATTTCTTTTTGCTTTATACTTTAAAGGTGGCCCTTAAATTATTATTCATTAAATGTTCAATAAAAATAACTTTATTACTTTATTTATAAAATAACTAAAAATAATAAATATAAATGTATTTGATCTATTAAAATGCTTAATTATTTATAGTTCATACATAAATAGTATTGGGTACAATATTTCTGTTTAACACATGAATTATTACAATATAAAAAAGGCTTTGAGATGATTTTGAATATCCTGGTTACTCTCACTAATGTGCTACTACAAAAATAAAGGAATTTTCAGTAGTTTTTATTATTATGCGTTTTAAAGAATTATTTTAAAAATAGTATTATTTGTAAAATATTGAATATAGATGTAATTTTAATAGAATTGAGTAAAAATTAATTTTTTTATAGTCTCGATTTAACAAACACAAGAAAACAAGTAGTTATAAAGAAGCTATTAAACAAGCAATGGCTGTAGCGAAACAACAGCAAAATACAACTAACCAAAATATCAGTTGATAACTGTGAGTTAATAATCATTATATTGTTTTATTGTCATATCAAATGTTATTTATCTTTAAATTTCTAATTCTAATTATTTTTGTCTTAATACTTCATTTTATTTTTAACTAGTCAAATTGTTGTACATGTTTTGCATCACAAAAAAGGCTTAAGGGTTCTTAATAAACATTGCTTATATCTCGTGTTAGATAATATTATGAAAGACTTGAACGATAAATATTGTTTTATATGTTAAAAAGTTCCTTATTGGATATATCTATTTGAATTTATTTAGAACATTTTATCAACTTTTAATTTAGTTATATTTTGACATTTATAATAATTCCTTAAAATAGTTTTTTTTTTTTGTTATTAAATGTATTTGCAATGTTGTTATTATTTTAATCATGAGTAAAAAAATATTAATTATAGAGGACCAATAATTGCTTGTATTTATAAATATTCTATGTGCTGTTTAACACGTTCACTGTAGATGATGCCAAATAGCGTCATGTACCTTTTTATTAAATGCACTAAAATTTGGTCAGCATTATGATTAAATTATTCAAATTTTTGTTAGCTTTTTCTATAAGTTATTTGCAAGTTGTACATGGATATTTTAATTTTTGAGAATTTTTTTTAAAGCTACAATTTTTAGCACAATAAAAACTATACTCAAGTATGATACACAGCGAACGTGTTAATTAATATTAATATCTTAAAAAAATTGTATTTTAATTAAAATCAAAATTTTTAAGGAAAAATAATCTTATTTATAATTCTGTCTCATTTAAGACATTTATTTGTTTTGTTCATCACTGAATTCATAGCTGTTAGTTTAAATTAATTGGTTGAAATGGTGATGTTTTACTAAGGACAAATTAGAAATACATTTTTATTAGGGAAAATATAATTATAAATGTATATTATATTATTGTATTTACAAAATTTACAATTTTTTTAGAATATAGACACTAAATGATATAATTGAATAATATGTAAAGTCCCATAAAATACAATTCAATTTTTAATTTATAAATATTTGTACACATTTTAACATTTTTCATTATTTTATTTGATAAATGATTAATGGTTGCTTATAATTTAATATTAAAATATTTGTGTATTTTTAAGTATTTAATTAAAATAATTGAATATACATTTTCTTGAGTTCTAAACACGAATTCAACCTACAGCTCATATATCTATGAATTAAGTGATAATATAGCTATTTGAGATTATATTAAAACCACTGTGATTATTGTGCTTGGAGTGATATCCATAATCAGGTAAAGGCTGCTTATAATTCAATTTAATTATTATAATAATATGGTCTATTATTTTTAACATAAACAAATTATTCAAAAATAAGTATTTTATCAGTTTCCACGTTTTAAATTAAAAGTTATTTATGAATATAACTATTACTAATTGTAAGATGTATGCCTTAGTTAAAAACTATATTTATAATTTAACTTTTAATAAATCGTTGAATTTATACAAAAATTATATTTATTAAATTTACTTAATTTAGTTAACTAAATTAAATGTGAGATCTGAATTAATAAATTACAAATTCATAATTATTACATAAATCTAAGAAGTATAAAATAACATATTTTTAGTATTTATAAAACATGAATAATAAATAAATGAGTATGTATAATATGTATTATCAGCCTTTGCCTACCTTGTAATAATTTATTTACAATAAAACATTTAAAAAAAATCATACTCATTAAAAGTGATAATATAAAGTAAACAGTGCCGAATTTTTTTTAAATATTTATCATTCATATAAAGAATTATAATTTAAATTCAATAAGTCTTTGTTATCAATAAACTACAAATATTGCATAAATCATTCAAAATAATAAAACTACAATATATTTAAAATAAATAAAATAACATTTATCATTTACTTAAAATTGTTGTTGTTATTTGTTCATTAATCGCTAGTTCGATATAAAATGCATTCTGTATAACTATAAAATTCTATGTTTAAGAAATAAATAAAAAATTATTTCTTATTTATCACAAATGGTCTATGCATAATGTTGCATAGTTTCTTTATTTGATAATAAAACTAAACAACATAGTGATATAATATTTAAGAAATATGTCTTAATGTTTGTATTTTAAAAAATTAATAGTATTTTGGGGAAAAAGATATAATTTCATAATACTTAAAACTCCTATATGTTTGAGGTATACATATCTCATAATTATTAATAACTATTTTATGTATTTTATTATTTTATTATAATATATTTTTACTAGATATAAAATCAAAAATGTTAAAATAAAATTGTTACAATGATAAATTTTATAAATTAAATGTACAGATATTTCATATTACATATACCAAAGAGTAAAAAATACTAAAAAATCAAAGTTGTCATCTCAGTTACCATTTGCATACTTCAAATTATTACCATTATAATTTTGGTGAATGTTCTTTAATGTGTACAAATTTTTATTTGTCATAGAACTATATATTTATTTTATTTGTTATCATATAATTTATTATTATTATTATTATTATTATTTAGCCATTCAATGAATTATTTAATATATATGCTTTATTCTTGTCATACTTTAATAATATAATAATTTATTTATGGGTAATTATTTTTTTTTATAGATTTATTGATTGTGTGAAAGTAACAAAACTTATTTTTATACTAAATAATATTATGTTTTTTATTTATACAGCTTATTTGTTTTATGTTATTATTGTTTGCTATGGAAAAATTGATTTAGAAACCAAAGAAATTACAATAGTGTTTAATATTGTATAAAAAAAGATAGTTTTTAAATATATATCCTTTTAGTTATACATATAAAATAATATTGTATAATACGATTGGTTATTGTATAAGTTTTTACACCATTGTTCTCATAAATTAAATATATAAATATATAAATAATTTTAAAATTCATAAGATTAGTATGGACATTTAGTTGAATTAATTTTTTTTAGACACATTTTAGCAGTTATCAGACCAAAAAAAAAAAATTATAACTTATTAAAAATATATAATCTTATTTAATATTTTGTATCTTATAATTTCTTGATTAGTCAATATTGTGAAGTATAAATATTTTCGAAAATTGTTATTACTTACCAAAATAACTTAAATGTATGATTCTCTATAACATATTTAAAAAAATTATAAATTACTCTTATTTTATTTTTGCTCAAAAAACACTTATTCAATCTTGTATATTAAATATTCTCATAGTTAAAAAAACTAATTACTATATATTTTATTATTTATAATGAAATAATGTTCATAAATAATAATTAAATGATGTTTTTTTATTGATTGTAAAAAACTTCAAAATTTTTTTTAAATTACTGCTACAAAGGTTTTAATTTTGGCTTTGTTTGATATATTTGAACTTTGAAATGTTATTTTATTTAAGTTTGATTTTGAATTATAAATTTAAAATTTAAAAATTATGTTAATAAGTGTTCTATTAATTAAAAGTCTATTAATTTCTTAGTCAGTATGCATGATGTATAATGTCTTGTTACATTATTTTTGTTATTCAGAAAAATAAAATGTATTTAAAACAATTAAAGATTTTGTACATTTCTAATTCTGTCCTAATCTTTAAATCTTAAAGTTAAGAATATATTAATGATTATTATCTATATTATTAATTGCAAATTAAAATATTAAGTAATACTTAGCTAAATTGTATTATATTATTTTGTATTAAGTTGTTTTAAAATCATAATTTAAAATTTTAGTTATAATCTTAAAAATAAAAATTCAAGAATTTACAACTAGACAGGTCGTTTTGTTTTAACTGGGCTGTAATTATAATTGTTTAATTTAGATAAATTTAAAGTTATAAGACTAATGTCTTAGTTTTTATGTATAAGCAATTTTATGATTAAATTAAAACAATAAAATTTATACTTTCACCAAACATCCAGGTTTTTCCCAATTTCAAATAAATCATTAATTTTTTTATTTCTGATGAAAGTTCTTTGTTATACAAGATAACACTGTACGTTAATGTATTGTACTTTAATATTATTTAATTTAGTTATCATGTATTAATACTATAATTATTATTTTACTTTATTTTAACTTATTACAATAAAGCCATACAGTTTTTTATTATTAAATCAAGATAGTGAGATAAGATTAAATAAATTAAATTAAAGATAATAATATAAAGTTACTAAATATATACAATAGTATTACCATACTTATTTCCAAAAAAGGAAAGGAGGGGTCCAAATTGGCTTATAGCTTATAACAATGGAGCTGTTGGTTGTTTTCATAGTAAGAATAAAACAAAAAGATATAAAGTGGGAAAGAACAGTGTTAGATGTGAAAATTGAAAGATATTAATATCTTAAAATTTAAATAATAACTTCACCATACCTACATTAACTTTTAGTTTATAGGAAGAGGTTATTGATTAACTAACCTAGATTCCTACTAACAGTACTAACAAAATAAAAAATAAGGTAAAACACCTCTTTGAACATTTAAAACACTTGTCACTTTGAATCATTACTAGTTTTTTTTTATCAATGTTTTAAGAATTGTTTGTAACATTCTTAACAGTTAATATTATCATGTATTACCACTTACCTGTTATAACTTCCAAGTGAGTAATAAATTATATTTTATTATAAATTCTGATGAATGTATTGATTTTATAATGATTTATTTATGATAGCATGTTTTTTTGGGTGGTAATAAAAATGCTACAATTTTAAATTTTAAGTTTTGATTTCTTAATTCTGATGGTAGTAAATTGGATCTAGTTGATACTTTGGTTTCTTCATAAAGTAATTCATACCGAAATCAAACAATCTAAAAATAGATACACAATATTTTATTTTTATAGACATTTTAAATTTAAATTTGGATAAAATTATATGTTTTAATGAAGAATAATATAAATTATTTTAGTGTAATTTAAAATTACTATTGGTAGACACTTACAATTTTTAATGTAAATTATTATATTTTATGCACATAATAATATTTTCAAGTTCAAGATTTTTTACAAAATTAACTTAACCTATCATATTATTTCTAGACTATAGTAAAATAAACTACTTTAAGAACAATATAAATATACCATAAAATATACTTAGTATTTAGTAGTTTAAGCTAACAGACCATTTTAATTTATTTAGTATTTTTTATAATTATAATTAAATTTAAATTTAACACAATAAACGTTTTAATGACTTGTTTAGTACACTTAATGCTAATTGC